GTAATTACAATTACGTCTGTGACGTAACAAGTTAATAAAAACACTTTGCTATGCCTGAAGAGCCGCAACAGCGGTGAAACGCGTAGCGCAAAAGCAAAGAAGACTTTCGTTTTCATTATTTTTAGTATCTTCATTCGACACAGAAGTTTACTTTCTATATATATATATATATATATATATATATATACCATTGAGAATTCACTGATGGATTTGCCCAGACATCGACGAATACTTTCGAACGTTAGTAGAGGTGAGAAATTACGCGAAGTCTGAATCATTGTCGAAGGTTCAAGGCCGAGAAAGATTGATTTTCCACGTACACGTAACTACTTACATCGATTTTCCATATATATCAAATGATTATTTGCTCGCCAGTGTATTTGATACATTTCTATTGATATTTTGGTAAACGAAGGCGATTTCTCCCGCCCGGCGCCTACGCGTGTTCATGTTCCTTTGGATACTGTTTTTAATCAAATATGATAAAATATTGTAAAAGGATGAGTAAAAAAAAAAAGGTTTTCAGTAAAAGATCGACGATCGAACAAAACAGTAGGCAAGACTGAGCGGATTTCTAGATGTATCCGACGCGTACATTTAATTTTAGGTGGAGATAAACGCTTTTCAAACTTGCAAAACTAGTGTCCATGTCAGCGCGGTCCCATAGCTGACTGTGTCCCTTTAAATCGATTTTCAAGTAAAGCAAACTAAAGTAACGAACCTTTTAAATGGAATATTTTGTTCGAAATTGCGTTTTACATCGATCAATGCAGAATAAACATAGTTACCTAGAGCACAAAAAAAGTGGTGGCCATGTGAACACATCCCTTTTTTCAAGAACCCACGCTGGAATTCGGGCTGACGGTGCCGGTGCCCGAGTACAATTAAGGACGAGCTCGGGTACAAATTAGGCACCGGTAAAAAAAATTGTAACTTGACCGGAGCATTTAGGAGTTCTCAAGAAGTCGTCGAAACTTGTCCGTGCGTTCCAGATCGAAATGGGATTTGGAAGTGTTTATTTTTGAGGAGAGGGGAAACCGAAATACACGGAGGAAAACCTCTCGGAACAAGGACGAGAACCAACAACAAACTCAACCCACATACATGTATGGGGTCGACGCTAGGATTCAAACCCGGACCATATTGGTGGGAGGCGAGTGCTCTCACCACTGCGTCACTCCGCATTTTTGTTAGTCTGCTAAGATTAAGTTTCAAACTGGCCACTGACCGAGTTAAGAGTGGTTGTCAGAGAAAACCGGGCAAAATGTTAAAAATGTCAACGGAAGGGGGTCAACAGAATAAGTTCATACTGACATCATGGATAGGTCTGGTAGAGTAATGGACAAATATACCAAACATATATAGGTTCTTCAATTCCCTTGTATTAGAGATATTCGAGCATCTATTTATTCGAGCCCCTCGGACGCCATTTTTATAAGCAAATTATCACCATTTTCTGAAACTCACAGAACCCGCAAAATTTAACGAGCGAAGTCATGCGATACAACACATCACAGAACTACTACCTAAAACTATAAGATTTGTTAAGTAGCCACGGACAAGACTAAAATTTTCTTATTTTATCTGACCTAAACTCAGTGTCTGCAAACGAGCAAAAGCCTTGTCATTACCAAACGGCTAAAAAACAAAAGACAAACAAACCAGCTTATCAGCGACCTTGTTCTTCAATGACTACTTTTAGTTAAATTTAGCTTGTTTTGTGTTGTCGTTTTTTTATGGCGGAGTGATGGGGTGTGATGAACAGGTGACCAATTGGCATTACTTTATTTAGTCTTCATTTGCTCTTCATTCACTTCACTTTGAGTTATCCCGTATAAGTCTTAGCGTTTCTTTGGACTCTTTATTGTATTATCTATTTTTGCGTCAGTCTTCAATCACAGTCCATGTCCGAAGGTCCACTCATCTCCTATTCATGGTCTCATGATGCACTTTTCATAGTCCGGAAGGCTTCGCCCCAAGGGTACCTCTTTCAAGCATCAGGTGTAACAAAGGGTAGGAAAATCACAAGTTGAAGTATGTGAAAGGAGAGGAAAATCTTTCATTAAGTATTTTAAAGGGCCTTTTATTAAAATGCTTTGAAGAAAAACGCCTTATGGCAATATCATTTACATTTTAATTCAGTTAAAGGTTACACGAAAATGACCGGAAGACCTCCTGTCTTACCGATTTATTCTCACGAAGCAGATATATGAAAAGGGTACAACTTTTCAGCGGAAGATATACGAAAGGGGTACCTTTTGTTAAAAATATAATTTATATAACTGGACCTCGAGGTGAAGCCTCTCCGAATAAAGCTTTATTGAGTAGCCTCCCAACCTCTCCCCCCCCTCCCCCTTCCTTCTCCCTAGGGCTTTCTACAAGTTGTTCGCCAACTTTTTGGCAACTTCTAGTATTTCGAGCAACTTTTTGCATAATCTCTGAGCAATTTCTCTTACTAGTTTTCTTCCATTTCTGAGATATCTGAGCAGCTTTCAGTGCATGCTTAAATTGGCGTTTCTTCCATATTGAACAGTGTTTTAGTGGGCAATTTATGAATTTCCTATGAAAAAGGAGCCAGATCCTCACCCCTTGTGGGCAGATGATAGGCGCAAGATGCAGCCGGGCGGCTAGGTCAGAGGGCTGGCTCTCTTGGCCGCTTTGCGACATAAAATGCCCGCTCCGCACGCTGATTCAACTGTTTGTTTTACAGCAAGCAACATCCAGTGCCCGAAGTTAGCCCACACGCTTAGAAACTCGCGAGGTTGATATATAGCAAGTCTAGCTAACTCGCATGAGAGCGAAGTTAAGTTATTCATAAACAGACAAAATAGATATTTAATATTATCTACATTCACTGGACACCTCGAAATGAGGAGAGAATGAAGCAATACCAGTTAATCTCCAACTAACCTGCGATCAGGCTTTCCTTTGCAAGAAAAACAAGCTAAATTCAACTAAAAGAAGTAATTGAAGAAGAAATAAGACTGGAGTAGGTCGCTGATCAGCTGGTTTGTTTGTTTTTTGTTTTTTTCTCTTATTGGTAATTACAGGAGCCCATAAGCTTCTCGTAATAGTTCGCAATAGCCCACGTTCGATAAAGAAAAATTCTAACATGAATCCGAGGCTTCCTGGTTACATTTCTATATTATGTTTGGTTTTCTATGTGCTCAAGTCTCTTTTGGGAATTGCGAGACAACGGAGTCGTAAAAAATTTGCAATTTTTGTCCGTATGTTGGATATCGAACGCAACTACTAGTGCCATCCCTCCTGAGTGCTGAATTTTCAGATGGCGTCGCTTTGTTATTTTCTAGTTTCATCCTGTCGTTCAGCACTTTTTGCCCTTTAAAATGTAACCTAGGCAGTATTTCGAGCTTTTTGATATTTCCTCCAGCTGCTGAACATACTTTACAGCGAAATATGAAAGAAAATTCACGAAGAGGACTTAAAACAAACACGAAGGGATCGGCCTGTTTGCAAGAAAAAGCTTGGAAACTATAAAAAATGTGAGTTTTCTAATTTCTTCCTGTTTCAACGGCCCAAAATGATTATTAGTGTTTTGGTTACATGGATGATAGTAGACTGTAATTTGGCTGTCATAGTTGTTCTGTCCTTTTTCGTTGTGCGCTGTAAATCAATTCAAAAATGCCCGATTTTTTGATTGTTTGCAGATACTGAGTTTAGGTCAGATAAAATAAGAAAATTTTAGTCTTGTCCGTGGCTACTTTAGCAAATGTTATGGTTTTAGAAAGTAGTTCTGTGATGTGTCGTATCGCATACAAAAAATACACTTCGGTCGTTAAATTTGCGGGTTCTGTGAGTTTCAGAAAATGGTGATAATTTGCTTATAAAAATGGCGCCCGAGGGGGTCGAATAAAGTGATACTCGTATCTCTAATACAAGAGCAGATAAAAACCTATTTTTTGGTATATTTGTCCAATACTCCACCAGACCTATCTATGATGTTAGTATGAACTTATTCTGTTGACCCCCTTCCGTTGACATTTTTAACACTTTGCCCGGTTTTCTCTGGCAACCACTCTTAATTCATTTTAATTTGTTAATCGCCAGTTCAAGTCCATAAGCACAAGGTTCAATTTCTTTTTTCCTTTCCCTTCAGCTCTGGACAATTTTGGGATTGTTGAGCCATTTCCTGCTAACATCTATCCAATTGAGTTCACTTCTGCCCAGGTTACCTGTGTAGCCTTTGATTCAGCTGGAATAAAAACTCCTGAAAGGATACAGTTCATGAGGAAGGACTGGTATGCGCGTTATACAAATATAACTGCTAATGACAACATATATTTCACAAACCGAACAGAGGAAGTGGACAAGGGTAAGCCGATGTCTTATAAAAATAAAAAATAAAAGTGACTCTAAGTATTGGAACTGAGTATCCCATTTTATATTTGATATTACACCGCTATTACACAATGAGGTAGCGCGCTTTAAATTCGTGATCTGAATTAGCCTTCGTTCCAACGTCACCGTCTTCCGCGAACCAAAGAGCGGCACCTTGTCTGGTCAATCATCAGGTTTTACCCAGCATTCCTTGCTCATGAGGGCAACACATATCATTGGCCATTTCCGCGTTCCATAAACTCTCACGTCCAAAACGAGGCAAAAAAAAACCTTGTGAAAAAAATAAAATGAATTTTTTTTGCATGAGAATGAAAAATCATTTTCATACCAATGGCTTCGCACTTAGTCTCGCTTTAAGACACAGGCTTGGAGCAACTCGGAAATGGCGTATTGCTATACACTGTTAGGAATCTGTCAAGTTTCTTGTATACCTTATTCTGAAATAAGACAATGACAAACATGCAAGGAAGCTATTGGACGATGTGTAATTAATTGTGTAACCTGCTAACTTTCCTAACACTTCTACGGTGTCTTCTACAGATGGAAAGAAGTTAAAGAAGCTCTTTGTCACAATGCACATACGGAATGTAACGCTAGAGGACGATAGTACGTATGGTCAATTGGGAAGGTACGAATGTCACGCTTTTGCGGTTGGATCACCCTTAGTGGAGGACAGGCATGGTTTCACAATTAACGTTATTTTGAGTAAGTTTAATCTTAAATGTGTAAAAGTACGTGTAACGCAAAACCTCGCGAAACAGAAGAAATAAGGGAAAAAAGCCAAGAAAAATCAAATATGAAAAAAAAAACTGCTCAGCTGTGAATCCGTGTCGAACACTGCACCGATTCAGCAGACACACAAAGTGAAAGCAAAAATATTATAAGAGGTTGTTGAAAGCATTTTTCCGTAGATATATTTTAAGGAAAATAAGCAGGTTTTTTTATGGTAAAAAGCCCAACTTTAGCGCATTTCATAGCATTTTACTTACTTACTTATTTTTTCCTTTTAGGAAACGAAATTCCTTCTGTGTCTACGACTGAAGTCAACATGCTTCAACACGGTGACAGTATCACCATCTTTTGCAATATCACTAAGACCTCGCAGAGGACTAGGCTGAAAAGGATTTCATGGTTAAAAAATGGTGTTGTACAGCAAAGTGTAAGAAACCCTGATCCAGACAACCTTGCAGACTCACTGGCACCACTAGTTATAAAAAATGCCGCGGCCGGAGATGGAGGAAATTACAGTTGTGAGCTTGAGCTTCGGCTTCGCAATATTAAACCATACAATGTATCAGACAGTACTATGATCACAAGTGAGTATATGATGAGTCTATTTTGCCATAATTCCTGTTTACTCTGTTGAGACAGAGTGCATTATATATTTCATGCATGATCTCACCTGCATAAGATCTCACTAATCTGAGATGTGATTGGCTGTGCGTCTGGTATACCAACAAGGCTTATAAAGTACAACAAAAATAGAGCGATTTTTCGTATGACCCTGAAATGAAAACGAGCGAACAAAACAGAAGCAACAAACGAATAGAAAAAGGGCGATTTGATTGGTTTATCATCGAACGGATACAAACGCGTCAGAAACGCGCGTGGCTTTTGGTTGGTTAAGCGAACGCTCGGATGAAAAAACGTCATGCCTGAGAACTTTCTAGAAATCAATCGATACTTTGCTTTGACGTCATACTGCAACACGATTGGACAATTGAACAATGCCGTCTCCTTATTAGGGTTTCCTTTGGCCGGAAAACGAAGAGTCCGTGTTTTGATCTTTTCATTCATTTGCGGATGATAAAACAAATACGAACACTTATCGAAACCATTTTTCAGGGTCATACAAAAATCGCTCTGTCAACAACAAAACCACGGATTAGAATTTCCAATGTAACCAATAATAAAAATCTTTGAATTGGTCCTAAACATTATCAATTACAATTATTATTTGCTTTATAAACAATACTCTAAAGAAAGATGGGGATCAGGTGGCAACGTTAAGAAACGTTTTCCCGATGGTTGACAAATGATTTAATCTTCAAATGTAAGTTCTAAGCGTTCATGGTCTTACATGAATTCTTACCTTTATTTCAGTTGCTCCATGGTTTGATAGACCACAAGAGGATACTGAATTGAAGAAATTCAAGGAAGAAAGTGTTTCTTTTCAGTGTCCTGCCAAAGGTTTCCCATTAAACGTTGAATGGAAGTTTCAGAAGAGTGGTGAAGACAATAAACGCTCTTGCATAAGTAAGTGCTGGGCCAATTGTACATCTCACCACTTAACCCTTTAAGCCCTAAGAGTGATCGGTATCAATTTTCTCCTTGTAATTATCAATGCCTTGTAAAACAGAGTGATGATGAGAATAACAGACAAGATGAATGTGCTTGATATTTTATCAACTTCTCCCCACTACTTCTGTAGGAAATGAATAGGGGCAACAAATGAGAATTCAAGTTTTGATTTTGGGGTTTAAAGGGTTAAACGTCTTTTGGACTCTCCACCGGCTTACGTGGTTTGTCATTATCTGGGCAAGTATACAAGAGCAAGGATAGGATGTGATGATTTGTAATTTCAGCTAGTATCGATGCTGGCGTAATGAATATTGTTCTCCCTCTAGTGTATTTGATGAAGGCGTTAGCTTTGTCCAGGAGGCATTTTTTGTTTAAACATACTTTCACACAGTTTTAAAAGCAAATGTAAACCTCGTTTAAAAATCTCGGCAGGTGGCTCAGATGCAAAATACCGCATACATCGCAGTGGGATTTACGCGCCATATGTATTGACCGTGAACGACTTGCAGTATAATGACAGTGGATCTTACTATTGCTGCCTCCCCTCTAACTGCTCCAATGATGTCAAGAGCAACTGCCACCGATTTGTACTTGGAGTAAGAGGTAAAAAGTCGTTTATTGTTCTTTCTATTTGTAAAAGATTGAATGAAGAAGGAGAACTCAACCTTGGGTCAGTTACCGGCCAGGGGAGGGGAGGGGGGATGCCATATGATGGGGTTCAGGGCGGAAAAACGTAATGAGCATGCGTGAACTTTTTTGCGCAGATCCCTTGGCCGGGTTTAAAAAAATGGCAGGATTTCAAATATATTATTGCCTAAAAATAAAATGTTTCCACTCATAACCTGGCCTGGAAAGAACAGGCAATTTGTCTTCAAAAGTTGCAAGCTGTGGTTATAACCTTGTCGTTACTTAATTTTCTCGAAGAATACCTCATAGTAAAACGGACTTTAACGACATTAATTTCCTTGCTTTGTACTGGAAATGTGCATGCGTAGGTCCGATTTTTTTCAAGATGCATTCACAAAATGTGTTCATATAAGGAAGTTCCTGGATATATAAGGTCCGGAGCTCCACTGTGGGACACAAAACAACATAACTTTGGACAGTGATTTGCCCAAAAAAATTAACGCTTGCCCACAGTGTGTTTGAAGTCACTGAACTTTGTGGCACTCGAGCCGATATTTTAAAACCCTCGCTCGATTGGACACTCGTAGTTTCGCAGATCACTAAAATATAAACAAAATCCTCAACGTAGAAGTTATTGCGTTGATATGTGAACAGAAAAATGGTCAATCTTTATCTAGTAAAATCTTCCCAAAAATCTGTTTCAAAGCAACTATAGTTTTTTAAAGTTGCTCGTTTCGCGCAGATATATAAATTTTGCTTTGTGTTGTCAAGTTGAACAAGCATAAAATCTGTCAAAAACCTACGCGTAAGTAGGATTTCCTTCAAACAAAGTTAAAGTTACATTATTTCAAAAACTTGTTGCTGACAATGAAGAAATGAATTTTCTGTGCGAAAACAACCTACCTAAAGATCTTAAAAACAAAAGATCAGTTGTAACTTGGCAGCCAAGCTATGATTCACCATTTAGCTATTTACAATAAGCTTAACTGGTCCACGCGAGGGTCTTCGTTCAGCAAATTAAACTCAGCCGATCATTAGAAAATACAGAAAATTGCACATAAGGGATTGTTTTGCTCGCCTCAGTCAAATCAAGCTGCAGCAATTGTTTACTGGAAAAGAGTCAATTGTTTTGAAGTGACTGCCGGCAGTTGTCGTTCTCTACTTCACAGCGAGTGAAAAGGACAATTTGCGTACACAACTATGTAATGAAAAATGAAAAAAACTCTGACTATTATTACTTGAACAACAGAAAAATGATCTTGAGTAAGCTTGCTGGCCTTCTATTTCCGAGAAAGCTTTATAAGCGCACAAATTTGTTCACTCTGATGCGTTATAACAGAAATATGGTTCTTTAACTGAAGACAAAGATAAAGCTGGTTCTGCAAAGGTAATAAATCTGGGCATGTAAAGAAAGTAACCAAAACTACTGATAACAGAATACAAGCGAGTTTTAATTCAACCCGGCGAAATCAACTCAAATTAATCGGATGCACAATCAGAAAAATACTCGCCTCTTAAGAAATGTTCAAAACCTTTTATTCCACGATCAGACTGACGGAATGATCCGTTTTTCCTTGACGTTGGTTGTTCTGAATCCAAAGGAATTTTCAAGCGACGAAAAAAAAAGCAAACATGTCCAATAAAAATGCTTTACAGGGAGCACTTCGCACCTCGTGCATTTCACTCAGAAACACAGTCAACACAACTGTCAACACACGCCATGAGCCTGCTATAAGGGATGCGCAGAAGCTTGCGCAGAACGTTCTTCCACCCTGAAATGATGAGGACGGGGATAGTCGTCATTAGGCCTTTCCCGATTGTGCTTGGCAACTTTTGAGCAACTGTTGGCGTTTGGAGCAACTTTTTACGGTTCAGCAACCTCGAGCAAATTTTGCCTTTTTTAAATTTTTTTTAATTAAAAATAGCTAAGTTTCCAGCTATTTTCCGTGACCGATGTTAGTAATTATTGTGAAGAACGAAAAATAAACCTTTAATTAACGTTTATTTAAAAATATGAAGAAATTTAGGTGGCATTTTTTTAAATTTAGGTAGCAGCTGTTTGGATTTTGGAAATTTTTTGGGGGAACTCTTTGGCATTCTAGTGAGCACCTTTCCAGCATTTTACGGGCACAATCGGGAAAGGCCTAGTCGTCATCTCTCTTTTTTATCTCACCTAGAGTGGTCATAAAGGAAATCTCGTATTCTCTGTACGGAGTTAAGCTTAAGTAAGGCCTAAGCCACGAGTCCAGCCTTCCATTAGGAATTAATTCAGAAGCCCATGAGCTCCTGGTCTAATTCTAATTTCCTAATAGAGGACTATTTTACAAGGGGGTCCTCAACCTTGAAAGTTTTTTCTCATTAATTAATGCTTGTTTCTTAATCTACCCATTTATTTCTCTTAGATGACAAGTTCCGTTGCAGACTGGACCTTGGTTTGTTGGTAGACATGACTGAAACTATTTCAGCACCTGTGAAGGTAACGGATGTTGTTCTACCTTTCTGGCTTGCTGTTTTCAAATCACGTGATCACTTAGCATGTTGTTTTTCTAATGAACTGTAACTCAATAGACGAATTACATTTTTGCCTCATTAGCATATCCGTTTCATTCCCTGATGAAGCTATCGAAATAAACTCTCAGAATATTAAAAGAGTATAACAACTTCAATTATCTGTGATAATTTGTGCCCGACATACCGAGTAGTTTCGGAGAAATTATCTTTAAAAAATTCGAAACTTTACGTTTTTACCACCCAGCAATTTCGCGTAAAAATTGCTCAAATTAACAACTCTTTCAACTTTGGAGTTTAATTTGTGTACACCTAATTGCAATAAGGTTGTCATAGGAAAAAGCAAAAAGCAAAAAGCAAAAAGTTAAATAGGAATGAATTAACATCTAATTATCATAGCTTGCAACATTCACAACACAAACGCTTATAGCTGAATCACGTAATATGAGAGAAATCATTTGCGTCTGTTTCTCGGTGTCATTCTAATGCAATTCGAGGCTGATTCTTCCAGCGAATTTCAAACGTGCTCGAATTACAAAGGTAAATCGGATAGCTACTAAAGAAATAATAGCTCCATTTTTTTGATAAATATAGCCTGGGGTAAATTCCAGGAACGCGACGCGTGTTTTAGATTAGTGCTAAATAGAAAAGCCAGTCTGCGTATGGTTTGCAGTGTACAACACCATCTGATCACAATTTTCAAGCAACAAATCAGGAGCATAGGCAGGACTTCTCATCGCGGAGAGGGTAAGGCGGTCCTCCGCCAGTTCCTCACCTGAGCCACAAACCAAACTTCGTTTGTCAGGACATAATAGATTGACGACTGAAAGTGCGACAACTGAGACATGACATTGCTCGCGTCAATTTACCTTTTTCTTTTTCGAATTGTGCGACTTCTGTTGATGGAGAATGTTGGCTCTAAATTAAAATGACTATGGCGCCTGTCTATCTTACAGCGCGGAATTACAGAATTATCTCTTGTTATTGCGAATGAATTCTTAAATAATTGTTAAATAATTAAAATACGCAAATGTAAATCACATGGCTAATTTATTCCTATTTGGCTTTTTGCTTTTTGCTTTTTTCTATGACAACATTATTGCAATTAGGTGTATATGGTGACACCTTCTATGGGTTAACTCGTATGCTAATGAGAAAAATTGTAAACAATGACGTCGGCAAAGATTCTACTATGGTGACTCGCATACTCAGCGATGGTGGCGATCGTATCTGGGAAATCCGTGATATGGAAACTGCCGGCTTCCTCAAAAAGGAAGCAGTTCACGCTTCTTAGAAAAATATATTTTATCTCTATTTGGAGTTTAATTTGTGTATATGGTGACACCTTCTATGGGTTAACTCGTATGCTAATGAGAAAAATTGTAAACAATGACGTCAGCAAAGATTCTACTATGGTGACTCGCATACTCAGCGATGGTGGCGATCGTATCTGGGAAATCCGTGATATGGAAACTGCTGGCTTTCTCAAAAAGGAAGCAGTTCATGCTTCTTTTTCATTAAGAAGAATACATTTTACCCTTGCGGAAAATGCTGAACATTTATGGAACGAAGCATCAATACTGTTTAAAGTTCCCAGCATACAGAGTGCACCTTTTCGTTGTTTTTTAGATCAAATACTTGTATTTTTTTTCTGGCAGACGTAGAAAAAAACGCGAATTCGTCTTCAGCTCCCCATGAGTTTCAAATTCCACGTTTTTAAAAAACGTTTCACCAATTATAGTACAATCCGTAAGTAATGATTTAATAAGTACATTATTTGACTGCATGTAAATGTTCTGTCCTTTAGTATGTTTTTGTTTTAAGGTAAATATTTTTTGCATTTTAGGGAAAAGGTGCACAGTTGGTAGTAACCGCAACGGGTCAAAAGTCGAAACATCAGAGGGGATTAAGAGGCGTCGTTAATGACCAAGCTTTCCATGTGTCAAATTATACAGAACTAAATGACTTGTTTCATGACTTAACAAAAGTCATCTGCCAGCGTAAGTGATAATTATAATGTAACTGAGAGCGGGCTAAAGTACCAAGAAAAATTATGACGCGGAATGTTTTTTTGGCGATAACTTTCACAATCTGGCTATACGTAGAAGTGTCCTTTTCACCACTATTCTCTTTACTATTAATTTGTCCTCCAATAACCTTCCCATTATTCTTCCCTTCACTCTCTAATGTTATCGTGGTTTGTTCCCTAGACTGCAAAATAGTCCGTATTTGTGCGTATTCAAGTACGTGCAAGCAGTCAAACAAAAGGTCTGGAACGAGGCTGAAGCCGAGAGCGAGACTGGGGATAGACGCTAAAGATACTTTTTTTTTTTCTCGCCTCATTCGCCCTATAGGGGCTTGTGAGGATCACGCATTTCGCGCGCGTAAGACTCTTACGCCATGCTTTACCGATTTCTGTACTGATTTTGAGAGAAAAAATCGACTGTTTTGCAATCTATTTGTTTCCTGAGGTCTGCTACTGCGTTTTGGAGGTGTC